CCCGGAAAATTTGCCAACTCTCCAGCGTTCCCTCGCCCTTTTGACCCGGTTTTACAGCACCCTGCCCTGGTTACAGTACCCTGTGCCTTTTTCTTTTGCAAATCCCCCTCCCCCTCACACTCTGATTTTTAATACGGCAAGTTCCGATTTGAACGTTCATTTCTCTCATTGTGACTCTCAAAACTGACCTGCGGCCCGATTATTGAAATTGATAGACAAAGCTATAGACAAAGAAGACATAGGGAGTATGGAGCTATCCTATTGGTTGAAATGGTTGATTCCTATAGACTAAGGGAGAAAATGATGGACTAACTATCGGGTCCCTCGTGGGTTGCCGTTTCTTAGTCTATTACCTGCCTCCTTTGTCCATTGTAACAGCTCAGTTCCACCAATAGGATCCCTCAAAATCCCTTTTGTCTTCTTTGTCTATAGCTTTGTCTATCAATTTCAATAATCGGCCCGCTGAGCATTACTTTTCGAGGCTTAAGTTCTTCTTCGTATTTCTAATCGTCCTCTCAGAATGCACGGAGTACAGCATTTGTCATCCGATCCTGTACCTGGAGGTCTGCAGTCTGGATAGCTGGGGAAGATACCGTGTCTTGGGTTACGGCAACACTCGCATTACTCAGAGTCCAGGCATGCACTTCGTCACCCTCAACACGTGGCGTCCAGCTCCCACCAGTATCAAAGAAAAGCTCAAGTACTTTTTCATCGGGGCGAATAAGCAGCTCGCCCACATCACTTATTCTGGCATTCCGGAACCATTTGCGGTGAGTCATTTATAAATAGTTGGTGCACTCTTAAGTGTCCTCTATAACTACTTTAACAAAACGCTACGAACTCTGCAGCTCTGCACCGTTTTATCTACCGTATTATCCATCAAACATTAGGTAACTTAAATGATGATGAAACTAAGGCTAAATAACGAGGAAAGTACACTTAATTTAAGAATAAAATCGCTAAAAATTTAAAAGTCTCAAACTTTCCTTGCTTAATTATTTTTCCGGACTTTAGGTAACTTATTAGGTATCTAATTAGTAATTTATTTAATTTTGGTTGCAGCAATTTAGCGTTCGGGCAGGTCTTATAATTATTTACTGACACACGGTATCAAACCATCATAGTTCACTGAAGACTGAGGTTACAGGCGTAAAACAGATCCACCCTTAAATTGGGGGCTATGCAATTTCATCTACGCTGACGTATCACTGTATCGCACGTTCTAATCGCGGCGTAGCGTTCAAATAGTGTCCAAGTACTGCGAAGTAGTGAAAATAGTAGGGATGTGGACCCGATCCGCGAGGGGAAAGGAGGCTAAAAGAAAACAAAAAAAACGCTACTTTATGACTCAAATTTAAATACCACATATGAGTGGCTTGGAGGAAAGGCGCATAAGTGCAGTTTTGGCTATTTCGAGGAAAACGCGTTTGAAGTTTCGAAATTACATGGATTCTTATGGCGGAAAATAAGTTCAAACTGACTTTTTGATGCTTAAAAATTGGAATTTGGGAGCTAATTTTTCACAATGTATGCATATTCGGACTAGTTTTACTTGAAATCATTGACATTTCAATTTTTTCAAAAACTGCATTTATGTGCCTTGTCCTCCAAGCCCCTCATATATTTTTCACTCATTGCTCTTCATTCTGTTCTGTAATGTGCGCAACTTTCCCATTTAATTAGGTAATTTCGGCATTTTTAGGGGTCTCTTATGAGTAAATATGGATTCGAAACGATGCCGAGTGGAGACATCACATTAAAAATCAACGTGGTCCACCAGGTAAACCAATCGTCGGTAGAGTCGACCAGTAGAAAACCGAAGCACTTGATGGGTCAGATGAGCTGCTCCTCCCTGGTGAACAGCGTTAACGCAGTCCTGGAAGCCTTCCACAAAGCTCGGCAGAGGATGCTCCTGGCAAAAACGCCGCTCATCGAACATCACTTGGATTCTAACTCCAGCTATAATGACGAGAAGGTATACAATCTGTATTCTGGAAATGAATTAATAAAATCATCAACATTTAAACACATGCATAGATATAGTATTAACGAGAGCAGCGGAAATATTCCGCAGATTTTGCTCCTGTTCTATCGTGCTAGGGAAAAACGCCGTGGGAGCCCTCAGACGTTGCCAAGTTTCCTTCGAGAAAACCCGAAACTATTGGGAAGTTTGTGAATAATTATTTACGACATTTTCAGGCAATTTTGTGCGCAATTCAATCTAAACTTTCTGAAAATTTCAAGTAAAAATGTGCATGAGTGTCATCAAAAATACATATTTTATCAAGGGAAACTTGGCAACTCTTGAATGTTCATACGGCTTTCTGCCTTAGCAGGGCAGTGTAATACGACAAAATCTAGCATATTCTCGCCCTCGACTCGGCTGGAGCATTTAGAGCAGATAGGACCCTAAGGTCCCGCACTTAAAGAATTGACCATGCTGAACCGCACGAGAGATCGCAGAAATGGCAAAATGCAGGAATCAATGCAGAGACTTTAACGCAGCGCAAAAAAGTAGGCGTACCGGCAAATGCGCGCGGCTGGACGCGTAGGGAACTCATTGCTTAAACATTTACTCATGCTGTAAATTCACATCAGAGATTTTTAGTTCTTCGGTGGTGCACATTAGTTCTTTGCCTGTAACTTCGACCTACAAAAAACGCGATTTGCAATGAGTGCGACTCGTCAAAGCATGCTGATGTGGCAATGTTGGCGGAGAATTGTCTGTTTGCTGTAAAGAATTTTGGGGAAAACTGTGCTAATCACGGAAAATTACGTAAAATGTTGTGTCCGTGGACAAATTCTCAAATATTTAACGGCACGCATTAGTGCGTTACCTGTACCTTCGATCGGCGAAAAACGCGATTTCCCAGCAAAGTGCCAACATTGTTTTCTCTCCGTTTAAACCTATGGAAATGTATCGGTTATTGGAAGCGCCAGGTGCTCCGACAAGATACGATTATTCAACACAGGTTTAAATGGAGGAAAGCCAATGTTGCCAAATTGCGGGGACCGCCTCTGTGCCTAAGAGACGAGACTTTTGGAGGAGCCTGGAAAATAGGAGCAGGGGATTAAATCACAAATCATAGACTTAATGTTCTGCCGCTTTGTCTCCTCCCATTCATACCCACTTGTTAAATATCTGTTCCAGAGCGCTGATACTGTTGACAGTCGATCGTCAGGAGAGGAGGACTAAGAATTCTCAGTTATCGATTATCAAGAATACATAAGACTGAAATTTTTAGTGTCGGCCATTTTTTTCCCTTTTTTTTTCATACTCGTATAATTTTATCTTTATGCTAGTTTGATTGTGCCAAATTTAGAAAATACTGTATTGTTAAGGGCGAACTGACTGAATAAAATTAAAATGCCTGAGACACTCAAAATTTTTACAATTTTTCTGGGGTCCTCCCTTTAGTCCTTCTTCAGCTTTATCGTGTACCTCAAGCGTCTCCTTACCTCAAGCCCGCTTCAATCAATCTTGCACCAGGTAAAAAAAAAAAAAAAAAAAAAAAAAAAATCAGAAATCCAGCACTGTGGGCTGATTATTGAAATTGATGGACAAAGCTATAGACATTAACGACGCACTGTAAATAAAGCGATGCCATCAGTGAAAGTGGGTGGTTGCCACAGGGGCCCCTGTACCCCCCCCCCTCTTAGGGCGGGCCTGTCTTTGTCTATAGCTTTGTCTGACATTGGTCAATAATCAGCCCGCTGCCGCTGGCCATTTTGAATTAGTCTCCTGCGATTCAGCCGAGTGCTCATTCTACTGGAAGTTCTGAACTCGTCCGACAGATGGTAATGCTGTCGTGTAAGGAGGGGTGAGAAGGAAGCGGAAGTTCAGAAACCTACCGCAAGAGGTCGATGAATGAATGACTCGAAATGAATGAAACAAAGTTGTACGCTTGGACTTGGTATGCATGATCGTAGAGTAACAACAGTGATGTTGTCACATTGTGAAGGATTTGAAAGAAAATTAGGTGCTTGAGACTCGGATAAAAAGTAAAATTATTCAGACAGAACCGACACACATTGGACGAGAATCTATTTATTAGAACATGCACTTTTCACACTTTGTCACTTTCCGGTCAAAGTATCACAAGCGATATGCGACGTTTCAAAATTTCCGCCGCCATTTTATTATTTTACAGAGGATTACAGCGGAACTGTCCACAAATTTCACTGGATTTTCTTTGTGCTACTTATAAAATTCGGCGAAATTTTTAAACAGATTCAACCAAAAAATATTCTGTAAAAAATAAAAAGAAGGCGGAAATTTTGAAACGTCGCATGGCGCTTGTTATATTTTGGCCGGAAGGTGACGACTTGCTCTTCGATGGGCCATTTTGGCTTCGATCAAGTCCTTCCACTTGATTCGACTTGTATTTATTTAATTCCCTTATGGGTTTGTTGTTTGTTGAAACGCGGTCCAGTGTATGAAGTGTATGTACTCATAATATACTCATGAGACTTCAAAGCGTGCAATATCTGCTCTCTGTATTTTTACGTTTTTTATAGATGTCGTTCGTATCAATCTAATATTATCGCCATCCAAGTAATGCGGATGTTCAGAAGTTGCTTCTGCTTTAAGTAAGCTTGCACATTTTCATGAAACTCATACATGAAAATCGAAAACAGGAAACTGGCTTTTCTTACGCTATCTTACAATTAATCGAAGGATGCCTAATAATTGCCTAAAATAAATGCGCCCAAGCTGTAGCGAGGCCAACGAAACGCCTAGGCCAGGTGGCAACTATTACTGCTCGACGAAAGCGCGTATTGCATAACACACAAGAATGAAGGCGCATGGGCTTCCGGATGTTACTCCGATTGGCACCGGAAAGAGACACATACTCAGTCTTTTTCAAGAATAGTTTTCGGAATATTTCTGTCATTACTCAGTGCGTTCCTTTTTTTTTTTTTTTTTTTTTTTTTTTTTTTATTACCCNGGCGCCAATGCGCGTTTCGCGCTGGCTGCCCGCCTGCCGCGCCGCAGCGTGCCACAGCGCCTGAAGCAACTATTTCACACCAGAGGTATTGCACAGTATCATACGCAACTGAAGGCGCTCTAATATATGAGGAATGGCAGGCATCCAACAAAAGTTAAGGAGCTTTCCTCGCAAAATAAATCAAGATACTACGGCCCAAAAAGAGAGCGTTAGTTCAAAAACTCACTAAGTCCTTGCATCCGTAATTAGTAACGTTTAGCATACACTTTATCGCCTGGATGTTGCTTAATCGCCTCGACTTAACCTAACTCGAGGCTCACTTCTGTGTGAACGCTTATACATTAAAACAATAGTTTGAGTTGATAGGAACTAAACTTTCGTCGCTTAGGCTAAGCTGGTGTGCATATCCACTTTGAGAAGTATATTAAATATGATGGTAGACGTGATGGTGGAGAAACTTGAACCTACTCATATTGCAACGTATCAAAATTTCCGCTTTTGCTCTTTTTTTCTTTTTTTTCTCTTTTTTTTCCCCAATGAGAAACACATGAACGTGATAATTTTAATTTGTACCGAATACTCCTCACGAAGAAAAATCAGCATGACATTTCCAACGAATATTACCGTCTGTTTTCTCTAAAATAAAATAAAACAAAATACAGCATGACAAGAAATTTGTGACACCACTAATCGAGAAAAGTGTATTTTTACTTTGATTGCCAATGGCGTCCCTGCATGTTCTTTGGGCCACGCGGAATCTATTCCTAACGATCTTGTTGTCTTCGGCTCTCGTAGTGTCATGAAAAGTTGCATAGAATTCATTATCATGATTTTAAAGATTCATTAGAGGGTACGGGACAGGGAGCAAACGAAATTGGAAATAGAGTGTGAGAATATACGAAATGTGCGTAATGTAAAAAAAAAAAAAAAATTTTTTTTTTTTACATTACGCACATTTCGTATATTCTCACACTCTATTTCCAATTTCGTTTGCTCCCTGTCCCGTACCCTCTAATGAATCTTTAAAATCATGATAATGAATTCTATGCAACTTTTCATGACACTACGAGAGCCGAAGACAACAAGATCGTTAGGAATAGATTCCGCGTGGCCCAAAGAACATGCAGGGACGCCATTGGCAATCAAAGTAAAAATACACTTTTCTCGATTAGTGGTGTCACAAATTTCTTGTCATGCTGTATTTTGTTTTATTTTATTTTAGAGAAAACAGACGGTAATATTCGTTGGAAATGTCATGCTGATTTTTCTTCGTGAGGAGTATTCGGTACAAATTAAAATTATCACGTTCATGTGTTTCTCATTGGGGAAAAAAAAGAGAAAAAAAAGAAAAAAAGAGCAAAAGCGGAAATTTTGATACGTTGCAATATGAGTAGGTTCAAGTTTCTCCACCATCACGTCTACCATCATATTTAATATACTTCTCAAAGTGGATATGCACACCAGCTTAGCCTAAGCGACGAAAGTTTAGTTCCTATCAACTCAAACTATTGTTTTAATGTATAAGCGTTCACACAGAAGTGAGCCTCGAGTTAGGTTAAGTCGAGGCGATTAAGCAACATCCAGGCGATAAAGTGTATGCTAAACGTTACTAATTACGGATGCAAGGACTTAGTGAGTTTTTGAACTAACGCTCTCTTTTTGGGCCGTAGTATCTTGATTTATTTTGCGAGGAAAGCTCCTTAACTTTTGTTGGATGCCTGCCATTCCTCATATATTAGAGCGCCTTCAGTTGCGTATGATACTGTGCAATACCTCTGGTGTGAAATAGTTGCTTCAGGCGCTGTGGCACGCTGCGGCGCGGCAGGCGGGCAGCCAGCGCGAAACGCGCATTGGCGCCAACAAACCTAACAGGGATACTTCACGCGTTGCGCAATGCGTGAAGTATCCCTGTTAGGTTTGTAGGCGCTAGTGCGTCGCCGCTCCGCTTTGTGTTAGGCTCTAATATTTCACCTGGCGGAGTCAGCGTTATTCAACTCATGATTTTGAAATGTTTGCACATCCTGTATGGATTATTCTCATTTTAATTGATGAAAACAAATATGTATTAAAGAAAAATATAATGTGTGTAAGGTGGTTCCGTATCAAACTTAATGCTTTCCAAAGCACACAATTTCTTATAGCCTTTTATAATCGATGGCGAAAAAGCAACAGCCGGGCGATAGAGTGTAGAGCCCGGCGATAGGAACTATAGCCCGGCTGCATAATTTTTTATCGCTTCGTATAGCCCGGCCGTATGACTTTCTCCGCATTCTACAGCCAGCTATATGATTTTCTGTAGTCTTCTTTAGCCGGCTATAAGAATTCATATGGTGTTTTGAAACGCAGCTCTTATCGTCAATTTTTACCAGGGGGTCCTTTAAAGAAACCTGCCGGGGCCCTCTGACACGGGACACCCGTCAAAATTTCAGGGGTGCCGAGGTACCCTATCACCCCTGGCGAGACCACCCCTGAAATTTCACTCAAAGGTGACACATTTCCGCATCATGGCTCCGAAAAGGTTTCCAATGCCTCACTATTCGTCATAACCATAATTTTTGGTATAAAATCTAGGAGGCCAAGTGTCGAGACCAAATTGACAGCTAAATTTAATGACCTTCGTCGACAGATGATATAGCAAGGTAGGGTTTGTCGATCAACGTCTTTTGACAAAAGCCCGATAAAGCATGAATAATCATCTCGCGCGATCGACAGTTTGTCGAATGCCCTTAATCGATAAAATAGCATTGCAAGATAGAGCTTGGACAAGGGAACGATGGTTAATCCGCTCGATCGAAAGCTTGTCGAATGACCTTAATCGACAAACAAACTGCACAATAGGGCGATTTTGATCAAAGTCATCACCTATACCCCCGATCGACAGCTTGTCGAATGCCCTTAAGCCTAAGCGGCAAACAAAATTGCAAAAAAAGGCGATGTCGATCAAAGTCACTGTATCTCCGATCGATCGACTGCTTGTCGAATGACCGAAATTGACGAGCAAAATTTCAAAATAGGACGATGTCGATCAAAGTCACTGTATCTCCGATCGATCGACAGCTTGTCGAATGACCGAAATCGACAAACAAAATTTCAAAATAGGACGATGTCGATCAAAGTCACTGTATCCCCGATCGATCGACTGCTTGTCGAATGACTTGGACTGAATACTGGAATTTATCCTGGGCTTTGTCGATCAAGGTTATTCGACAAAGAAGCGGTGTGAAGCGGGAACAATTGGGCCGGGCGTTAGAATTGGCGTCGCTGTGGAGCCCAGCGCAGCTTGGAGCAGGTCGAACCCTCACGCACGGGCGGGGTTGTTGGTTCTCGAGGAATTCCTGGAGTTGGCGCCCGGGCGCCAGCGCCGGCCGGGGATTTTGCCTGCCATCGGGCGACCGCGCAGCATCCCAGCTCGCGCTTCGCTTCCTCCCCTCCCGCGCGAAAAGGCGAAACCGTGGACGTTTGAAGGTCGAAGGGGGTGGCGGCGAGACGCGAGAGGAAAAACGGAAAAAGAGAGTAGCAAGTAGCCCCATTCGCGAGGTTGCCGAATTGCCAAGGCTCCTCGATTCTTGAGTGACATTATTAGCATTGCTATGATGCCTCGAAAAGGCTATAGGGTTGGGATCCTCGAAACAAAGGCTGTTGAAAGACGTGAAAACATTTGCGGCGAAATGAAGGGTGATACGGTTCAAAATAATAGAGAAAACAGTTGTGGGAAAATCAGATCGATTTTTCGTTTTTTTGAGGCATTTTAAAAAAAAAGTTTCACTAACGAAACTTGTGAAAACTAGTGAGAGCGCCTGTGTCGTTTCAGTTTTTAATGCCAATTAATTCTAGCTTCCAATTTTTTTTTCAAGGATTTTGGTGCAAATGTATGAGCGTCGCAGTCAACTAAAATGAAATAATGCACACCTTTTCACGCGCATCCTTAGAAATTTTCCAAGACAATTTTTTCAACCTGAATTTCTGCAAGAATACATTTCTTTTCCGGAGCATCTCCCAATTTTCTAATTTTTAGAATTTCTCAATTGTACACGTTGAAGCACCGATGAAGTTTGAGGGATGGTTGTTGTTTTTCGCTTCGCCGTTGAATAAAACTTGATCGACAAGCCTTATTTCGGAATATTGAGTCAATCAAGTTTCAATCAAGAGTGCTGAAGTATTCTGAATTTAAGAACAGGCATTCATTTTTTTGTGAGAAAAACCAGCAAATTTCTGCAAATTTTTCCGTAAGTTTGACTAAAATCGACGGTGAAACTCCTAAACCACGTATCTCGTTTGCGGTGTTTAAAAATCTCCGCTCCCATATAATTTTTTTGAAGGAGAACAAATCAATATCCTTCCTCCCAGTTTTCACAGAATTTTCCTCGCATAAAGAAGAAAAATCCCGGAAGTTTTCAAGAATTGACGTTGAATAGTTTTCCATTTAAAAAATACGGGATCTGGTAGTAGTTTCGACGTCGATATATCGCAAAATCCTGTCCGCACACTGAGATTTTGGCTGGTGTTGATTTTTGGACTTGATGTCACTAAAATTGCCGAGGGTTTGTGATGGTTCTCGTAGATTCCTTTAGCAAAAATTTGCCCCTTTTAAATGGCCGTCCCTCGTCTACACTGCCGTGTTGAGGAAGAACGCCGTATGAACATTCGAGAGTTGCCGAATTCCCTTCGATAAAATGTTTATATTTGAGGAAAGTTATGAATCTTTTTCCTTGAAATTTTCAGGATTTTTAGGTGAAATTACGAACAAAATGATCTGAAAAATTGTAAGAAAAATATTCATGAGTTTACCAGGAAATTCGTGTTTTATCAAAGGATTTGGTAACGCCTGCAGGTTCATACGGTGTTTTCCTTAGCACGCACTGAGAAAAAAAAACACATTGGATCTAGAGTCCAGACTTTTAAAAACATCGACAAGAAAAAATACTCTTGATTCAATCGGATTTTTGCTTAAATCAAGAACCAAGCCTCTTAATTGGAGCGGATTTCCTTTTGATTTAAGCAAAAATCCGATGGAATCAAGAGTATTTTTTCTTGTCGATGTTTTTAAGAGTCTGGACTCTAGATACAATGTATTTTTTTCCCAGTGTCCATACACTGAGTTTTTGGCTGGTGTTGATTTTGGGACTGGATGTCACTAAAATTTCCCAGGTTTTGCGCTGGTTTCCGTAGATTCCAGTAGCAAAAATTTGCCCTTTTCAAACGGCCAACGTCTACGGGCAACGTTGCGAACGGATGCGCGCGTTGGAAAAGCCTGGCCACGGACATCACCATGGCAACGTTGCCCAAATATCCAGGCGAGTTCGGCCGAAGAGTGAGCAGACGAGCGACGAGCAGCGATGGCGGATCCGGTGTCCCGCGAACCCGGGCTGCCAGATGAGGCGCGACAGAGCGCGGGCTTCCCCCTTGGGCCCGGCGACACGGCAACGGCACCAACCCCGGTTTCCCGCGCGGGAGTCCAAGGTAACCGCCGCCGCTGCCGCCGCCGCCCGTTGCGTGCGAGGAGCGCGGCAGACGCGGGCTCGGGCTTTGTGCGTGCCCGCCTGATCGTCCGGCGAGCACACGTGACAGAGACAGAGCGAGCGCTCCCTTCCCTTCAGTCACGCCTCGAAAGCACCGGCAAGCGAACGCGGCGATTGCTCGAACGCAGGCAAGCACCCGGCACCGGCCGCCGGACCCCAGTCTTTCTTCCCTCGTGCACACACCGCGTGGCCCGACATCTTCTCCCTTTTGCGCTCCGCCGAATAAAACTCAACACGCTTAGTTCCAAGTTACCTCTGACTCGCTTTCTCCAATCCCCAGTTCATCCACCGTTACCTGGTCCTAGTCTCCAGCGCCTTCCTAGGTTTTACCCTCGAGCTGCACCCTGCAACCCCAACCCATCCTGTCAACCAAATTTTGAATCACTCACTACCTCGTGGTCTGTATTTCCTAGGGCAATATAACCCCTAGGTATCACCCAATTTTTGTAACTTTACCAGTAAGTTACCCGTCACTCTTAAGCAGCTCCCCTCTTCGAACGAAACCCCGGGTTTCACTCGAACATTCCATTTTTTTGTTAGCGCAATGTCACTCTCGCGATCTCCTACCAGCCGAGTTTAGAAGCGAACAACCGACGTTCCGTACCCGTCAGCGGATCGAAGTATCGAAGCTCGGGGATTGCTCGACCGGCATTCCATGAGCTCTCGCGCGACGCTGCCTCTCGCAAGAAACGATCCGAGTTTTGGCCGCTAGTCGGCGCGGTCGAGATGGAGCCGAGCATGGAGTGGTCGATGATGGACACGCTGGAGCTGATCGACCGGTACCGGGAGCATGAGGTGCTCTGGGACACGAACCACGTCAACTACAAGCTGGCTCCGGAGCGGGAAGCGGCCTGGAACGAGCTGGCCGCGCTCTTCAGGACGACGCCGTTCCAGGTGAAGCGGAAGATCAAGTCGCTGCTGGCCTCTTACCGCCGCGAGAGGGTCAAGCTCCACAAGCTCGGCGCCAAGGCGGAGGACTCCAAGTGGTTCGCCTTCGAGAGGCTCGGCTTCATGAGGGACATCTACACCCCCCGCAAAGCGCACGTTGAGGTAAGAGTCTTCAGCAACCTAGCACGGACTTTTTGGGGTGGG